AAGAGATAACACTAATAAACCTACATTAAAAGATAATATTACATTAGTAATATAGCACTGCATAGAACAAATAGACTCAGTTTATATGTTTAATTAAATGAATAATGCACACAATATTGTCATTATGCTTAACATTGCCTGAATATTAGTTGCTTGTATACATTACTGCTAGAATTTTACCCTACCACTGACTTTACACCCAGTGACCATTGGCCAAAAACTACGCACTGCAGCTACATTGGCAAAACTGCCCACACTTGCAAGTCTGCAACTACATTGGCAAACTACCACACTGCAAGATTACAGATTATGACAGGTACAGGTGCCGCCACCTTGCCAACATCTTCATCAGCATGAGACTGCCGATATAGCAGAAGCCGTTGCGCCGAAAGGGATGTTGGATCCGAAAGCGCCTTAAGCGCAGATCCTTGCGCCCACAAGCGTCGAAGCAATAAATAGTGCCGCGGCTTTCAGTCGCCGCCAACGACACAACGACCCCACGGACCTAGCACGCCGTACGCAGGCGATTTCAAAGGGGGGTTAGGAGCACCGCGAAGGGGGGGAGGGTCTGGGCGAATTTTTTGGAAATTGCATTCCACAGATGCGTATTTCTGCGCGAGAATGGGCGGGTCTGCGGAACCCTGCCGACCCCCCCCTGTACACGCCCCTGATAAACTGTAGCACACTGATACCCGTGTGCGCTGCACTGACGGGTGGGGTCCGCGGCCGGTAGCATTCATGATTCATCAAGCTGCGTACGCAAAAAATATTGCCGTAAATCTTGTGTGCGTACGCAATCGAGCTCTGCCTTAGTTTCGATTTATCAACGCAGTTATTTAGGTAGATTCGTATTATAGTATTTAGTATGGCGATTTTCGCTACGCAAGCAGGCCGTTTTTAGCGCGTGCGATTCATCAAGCGAAAAGTACGGTAAACCTTTTGCGTAGGGAGTGTGTATGAATGATCAGAGAGAGAGAGAGAGGAGAGGTGTGCTGCGTGTGTGTGTGTGGTGTGAGTGAGAGAGAGAAGCCGGGGCGGGAGGGGATATGGCCGCAATCTGTCGTGTTTGTGTTGTGTCATGTGACACGAGAGAGCAGAGAGAGAGAGCAGAGAGAGGGGCGCGGGAGGAGGGCAGGGATGGAGCGGAGAAAGAGAAAGAAGATGACGGAGAGAGAGAAGAAGAGAGACGAGAGAGAGATCGAGAGCGCGCGAGCGAGAGAGAGAGAAGAGATGAGAAGTAGGAAGAGAGAGAACGCGCGCAGCAAGCGAGAGAGAGAGAGAGAGAGAGAAATGAGATGAGCTGATAGAACGAGAAAGAGAGAGAGCGCGAGAGAAAACAGAAAGTGTGTGCGCGCGCGCGTGTGTGGTGTGAGAGAGAGAGAGAGAGAGAGAGAGAGCTGTGCGTGATTGTGGCCTGTGCTGTGTGTGTGTGTGTGCTGTGTGTGTGTGTGTGTGTGTGTTGTGTGTGCGTCCGTGGCGTGCCGTGCGTGCGGTGCGGGGCCCGTGTGGCTGTGCCGTGGAGAGAGAGAGAGTACGGTGTGCCTGTTTGCTGCTGTGTCTGTTTGTTTAGTGAATAAACGTACTTATCCATACTACGTACACTACAGAACAGTCGACAAACGTGCATAGGCCTACACTAGCTAGGTATAAAAAGCTTGCGCTTTGAATAGCTAGAGTAGATGCCAGTGAAAATCGCGTGAAATTTCTTAAATCTCACGAATGTAAACAAACTCAAGGTCTATGAACATAATATGTGCTTGCGTGCAAATCAATTCTGCCCCAATCTGACGAATCTGCGACTGTGCTGGCAGCCCATTGAACTGTAGCACCTAAAACCCACGCTGATAACCTGTCAGTGGTAAATTCGGGCATCCTCGTTACTCTTCGTCTTTCTTCTTTCTTTTTTTTCTCTTCTTTTTTGAATCTCAGCGGGGCGCCATATTTGTACAAGGCCATTCCCGCCGCCCCTCCTTTCAAAAGCAGGGGAGGATGCATCCCCCCATCCCCGGCATTACGCCCGCTCGTTAGCTGGACTGCGATGCGCTGCCGCGATGCCACGCGAGCGGAGCGGGCACGCGCGGCGTGCCGAGGGCGGTGTCCCCCTCGAGTTTGAAAGAAAAATGAAAATAAACGCCTAAAAATACCGCATTTACCTTGCCAAATTTTCTGTATTTATATCATATTTACTGTGTTTTGTTTTCATTAAAAATCATCATGAATTGGCAGAAGAAAAATGTCTTCATACATTCCGTTTACTTCACATCATTTATGTGCTAATAAGGCCGACCTTTGGAGTCTCTTGACAGTATGCTTCCCACCCCACCACCCCACGATTCGAGAATACCAGCCAGAATACCGGCCCGACCGCGCTGACCGGACAAGGATGCTCCCTCAATATAACGAACGGCATGCTGCCTGCATAAGAATCAGGATAGACGGGGAGCAGAGGAATGGCTGCCAGAAGTTTCTGGATCATAAAATTTTATAGCTACAGGTAGACCTGACCTCATCTGACCTGGTCTCGCTTATAGGGCCTAGATTACACGTAATATACATGATATATGTAACCGGCCCAAAAAACGTTTATAAAGTAATTGCAAAGATTTCTGGTACGGAAAAACTCGTATGGCCTGAAAAAGTGCCGCGCTGGTCGCCGCGGGCTGCCGCGCAGTTCCGACGCCCTTGTGTCGCAGCACAGTTCGCCCGCAAGGCCGCAACGCGACCGCGGAACTCTACGACAGTATGCCAGCCGCTGGCCAGTATGATCGTGCGCCGAGATGAATTGCGCGGCGCACGCGATCCAATAAGCTGCCACAACAGGACAAGTAGCAATATAATACGGTCGAGGTCAAACCCCAAGTGTGCAACATCTCCTTGACAAGTTTTATGAATCACCTTGACTTCCCTGCAGCTAGATCGTTGGAATTGTTTGTTGAGTCATTATTAACGAAAACCAGTGCAAACACGCTGTCAAAAAATGCTAGGACCCTTAGTGCAGCACATCTGTAAGTTGTAAATGTGTTACATGTATTTAAAAAAATCTTATTTGTTAGTTGCTATTTATGTATGAATTCTTGTGATATAAGTTTAGGTAGCCATTGTTTAAGCTATATGCAAAAGTTAAACTGGAATGTGATCTACCAAGGCTTTGAAACCTTCAGACATGGTTTTATATTGTACAGACATGCGAATGGTGATTAATTGTCAACATATTTGCTATCTCTTCCATTTGCAGAAAACAGACGATACTATCAGAAACAAGGTTCGATTTTCTAAAAGATTTGGTTGCCAAGGTGCCAGATGTCCGAGAAGGTGGCATTGAGGGAGACGAGAGTTCAAACACTGGCAGTGATAACACATTCAAACCCAGGTGCTAAACCTAGGTATTAGGTGTGGAGTAAGCAAGTAAACTGTGCACCAGCTAAATGTTGTGCTTCTTGAGCCTTGATCTGTATTGCATTGTTATAGCCTAGTTGAGCTGGCATTAAGTAAGGTTTGTTATAAATATTTGATTCAACTACAGTGGTTTCCAATATTGGTCTCTGGAAGATATGATAGAGAATGGCTGTTTTATGATTTACAAACAAAGTGATCACAGGTGTTGACTCTTAAGATGATTAGCCCTTCATAGTAACTTTGACATAATAATACAAGATTAAAAGCATTGTACAGATCTATGCGAGATCTGTAGAAACATACTCATGGGTATGTTTTGATATCTCACAATCTAACGTATAGTGCAGTTATTTAGTTTTGTAGTTATGTATACAGCTGTTGTTCCAAAATGAAACAGTGCAGCTGCTTATCAAATATCTCCTGGAACAGCTGCTATGGAATGTTACTCTGTTTTGTTGTTACACCTTCAGATATAGACAACAGTAGCAAACAATCTTAAAATATCGTGCGTGCTACATTCCTCTTCCGCCTTCCTTTTTTTCTGAAACAAAAGACATTCATTACATAAGCATTTGGCATTTGGATACGCTTTAGGAAAATAAGGAAAGCTAACAAATAATTAGGTAGCAGACTGTACAAACTACAAAGGACTGAAATTATGGCCTAGCCTTCACATTTTCCAAAATTACTTACACCATTTATTTCAGGAACATGGGAGTTTGAGATAAATTGTTTTTCTACCTCCAATTCAGAGCCATCAGATTCATCTTTTACCCTGCTGGGCCCTTAACCAAACTTACATGTTGCTAGTTGCCAGTGAACAATCGACAGGTTCCTGCTGTTCACTACAGTTTGACGAGTGTCTTCTATCTAATTTCGATTTGTGAACATACATGGGAACACGTGGGTGAGACATATCCTCTTCCTCCTCTCCATCCTCATCCCCATCTTCGGTTGCTTCAGAATCAATCTAAACAGACAATAAACTAACTTGAACACTGTGAGATTATGGTAACATACGCCACAACGGGCCCAATAGGTGGCACCACGTACTTACCTAAAGCCACTGGCAAACTACAATGTGGCAGCCTGGACTGCGATGAAATTAATTTGTTGTTTGTATTATATAGTAAACGTTGGTTCTTCAGTCTTTACTTTAGAACTATAACAAACACACAATGTAAACATCATAAAACCACTGCAATGTGATTGTTTTGTAGATTGCAACATGTGTAGGAAGGAGATCTTTATACAAGCAGAATCATCTATTGCAAGCACACATGCCAATATATAGTATTGATAGAATGCACAAATCACAAAATCATGTACATTTGAAGCTTGTAGTACATAGCATAGCCAGGGAAACACTAAACATTTGTAATCCTAGGTACATGTTCTGTTTATTTTATTACCTGTAGTTTAATGTTAAAAACAGAAAATCCTAGACTAAATGTTGAACGTTGTGTGTTTTTACAAGTATTGCTCTTGTCAATACTTGATTCTACCAATAGCGTTTATGCAACTAGTAAAGTGAAAAAGAGATGGAGACACTTCGTGGTTGCTAGAAAGTGGGACCAATGGCAGAGCTGTACTCCGATCATTGTGACTGCAACGAAGGTTTAAACGTGTACAACATCATACACAAGGTCTTGCATATATTTGTTCTGCACACAACATACATACTATTTGCCATTTAAAAATTGTCTACATGCTGATTATGAACACCATATATGAAACCATTTAAATGTGTGAGCCTACCATTGATGCACGAAGGGGCATAACTACGTGGCAGGATGTCAAACCTCCAGTCAGCAGTAGAGCTTATGCAGAAGATGATGATTATGATGCGTAGGGGTCGCAGGTTATCGATGTATATATGAAATAAGATGTGAATGACAAGGTGAATTGCATTATGAGTGGCTGCTACTGAGCAAGTTGCAGTTTGAGTGGGGAAGTAAATTAAATGCAAGCTAAGGTGTACAATTTTTTAATATTTGTTCATACTTGCGTCAATGTGTAGATTTTAAGTGTTTCGGAAGTATGGTGCTGTCCATGCTCGCGTTAATCTATATATCTCTGGAGTGTGTTCTTGTGGTGAGTACTTTGACCATAGTGTGCGTACTCGTTTCATTGTAGTTTCTATTATAATTGCACAGTTGGAGACATAAAATACAGCAAGTACATTGGTTGTGATTTTTGTCAAAAATTCAACTGTTAACTGCACTACTGCCTTCTGTTGCTGTGCGCGACTGAACGTAAGAAGTTAATAATATTCCTTAGCAGGTAGTGTTTTAAAACTTACAGTGCAGAACTGAGATACCTGTAGAGTAGATGACATACATCAATTTTATAGTTTACACATATCAAATGTCTTTCAGTGATCTGTGTTTGTGAGTTTGTAAGGCATCGTTGTTACATTCAAACGTAGGCTGATTATGTTTGAATATTTCAGTAAATTTCCAAAATACTGTGTTGGAAATGTGTTATAGTACTTTGTGAGAATTAAATATATTTTTTCACATACATTTGATCTTTTTATTATATGTATAGGAGATGAGTTTTCGTGATATGGGTTTTGTCGGTTGGTATACAGAAATCTAAAAACCATGTATGGCACGCCACATGTGAAAACAGATGGCTAATCTGAGTAAATATCCGTATGTCAATGGTTATTTCCCCCTAGTAAGTGAGGTGTGGTTAAATTGCAGAAGCAGTAAGCTAACACTCAGTAAATCATTAAAGTGATTACGTCACCGTAAATAGTAAAAGTAAAGAATCTATTTCCACTTTTTCACAAAATGTAAGTAATTCTGTTTACTTTTTATGGTTAAATTGCTGTATTATACTTCCTATTTTACTATATTGGTTCGATGTAACATACACTCGCTGACTCCATGCGCTGGGGGACTTAACTGCGAGGAAGCAGTGGAGCGCGGTCTGTCTACTGTGAGAAGCAGGGAGCGGTTGCTCTTACTGCCGAGACAAGCAGTGAGCCGCGATCTGTCGACTTGCTGAGAAGCAGTGAGCGAGCCCGTGCCCTCAACCGTCTTCTACAGTGAGAAGCAGTGAGCGCGCCTGTCTACTGCCGAGACAGCAGTGACCAGCGCTGATCTACTGCGAAGAGCAGGGAGCGGCGTCTCGTCTACTTGCCGAGAGCGTGTGTGCCACTGTGTGTGTGATGTGTGTGTGCACATTGTGTTGTGATGTGTGTGTGTTCTCTGTCTTGTCAGTCTGTCCTGGTCTGTCTGTCTCTGTCTGTCTTGTCTGTCTGTCTCGGTCTGTCTAGTCTGTCTAGCTCTGTCTGCTCTTGATCTGTCTAGCATTCTGATCTGTCTGCTCTGTCTGAATCTGTCTGTCTGTCTGTCTGTCTGTCTGTCTGTTGTCATGTCTGTCTGTCTGCTCTGTCTGTCTGGTTTCTGTCTGTACTGTCCTGTCTGCTCCCTGTTGTCTGGCTGTCTTGTGCTCGTCTGTCTGCTGTCTGTCTTGTCTGTTGTCTGTCTGGCTAGTCTGTCTCTGTCTGTCGGTCTGCTGTCTGCTCGTCTGTCTGTCTGTCTGTCGGTCTGTCTGTCTGTCTGTCTGTCTGTTTCTGTCTGTCTGTCTGTCTCTGTCGTCTGTCTGTCTGTCATGTCTGTACTGTCTGTCTCTCTTATAGACTGACGTTCCCAGTCGTGTGAAAGTCATCATAACGTTCTAAAAATACGGTAATAATGTCCTATAATCATCTCTGTACCTTTTGGCGAAAATTTTACCCCAACCACCTGCTGGTTTGAGTTATTCATCTCCGTACCCAGATACCAGGTGCTTTGCGTCCCGGTTGCTAATAAATTATAGTTAACACTACGGGCGTCATTGTGGGTTTAATTTCCAAGCACCCGGTCAGATAGATGCGAATGATATGATACTAGGCACTTAGGATATGGATTACTAAACACTTTAAAAAAAAAAAACCTAACCCAACCGTAACCCATAAAAAAAAAAATTAAATTAAATCTAAAGGCTAGTAGTCATATCAATCGCACTCTTTCCCCTCTGGCCAACACACCACATTTCCAAGACTAGATACCTGTCTATCTGTGTGTGGGTGTGTGTGTGTGTGATGTGTGTGCTGATGCGTGACTCAGTGCGTGCTGACCTTGGTGTGTTGTGTGTGTGTGGAGTGTGCCGTGCGCTGAGTCGTGCGTCGTGTGCCGCTGTGCCGTATCCGTGGCTGTGTGAGTGCGGTGTGTGTGAGTGTGTGTGTGGTGTGCTTGGAGATCATGTGTCGAGCGTGGTGCTGCATGCGTGCTTGCGTGCGTGTGTGCGCGTGCGTGCGTGCGTGCGCGCGCGCGTGCGCGCGCGTGTGTGTGTGTGTGTGTGTGTGTGTGTGTGTTATTTTTAATGTTTATACGTAGAGGACGTAAGTAGCGACGCTATATCAGTTTGATAATTATGTAAACGTGCTTATCGCGAAACGGTTACAGCGGACGTCCGTGGGAGTGGGATTGACATGACAGTATTACAAACGATGTAATGATAAGGGTGTATAAGTATATGGAGTTTGACTCATTAGACGTTCTGTTGGCTGGAAGTTATTAGAAGCTTCAGTGCATTTCGTCACAGCTTAAACGGTGCTCGTTATTATATCCCATGTGGTTGGCAACAATATGACGGTAAGACAGTGTAACAAGAAGCTACGCTTTCACATAACGATCGTTCACATTTAGAATAAATTAAACTATAGAAAATAAAATCTGTGTATGCGTTTCCTGTCTGCACATGCAAACTGTTGTGTTACCGTTCTGGTATATTTGTTCAATTAAATACATGCTATCATCTCACTTGTGTGTTACAATATCTGTATGCAGGGGTAATGCATAAGGTAGCTATATATAGTAATAAAAATATAAAGATCGTCAAGCTGTTAAACATTTCTGGAAAGTTGTCATCGTTGAAGATTACATATATTACGTCCCGTGTGAGATGAATTTAATGTAATTAGTTTTAACCTTTACTGACATAGTTCTCGCCCATTTCTTTTACTCATTCCAGGCGCTAAAAGTACCTGATATGGAACTCTATCCCAATATTCCAACTCCGCTGGTACGTACAATGGAAATCCTTAGTAACTCGTTGATTGGCATTTTTCACGACCTATCATTAGCGATAAAAAGTCATTCCGTACATCATGTATTCATACGTTAACATGTTTCTCTGGTCAGAGTCTTCCGCATCAAGGCGAAATACCCGGAGGAGTGAATGTGGGTACTGTGATATACGTCACCGGGGTACCCTTCAAGAATGTTACTAACACTGGGTGAGAAAGGCTATGTAGTCACATGTTTTCGTTTAATAACCGGACACGTGGTAATGCAAAATAAGATAGATTGACGGACGGGCAGACAGGCGAGAAGACAGACAGTCAGACAGGCAGACAGACAGACAGACAGACAGACAGACAGACAGACAGACAGACAGACAGACAGACAGACAGACAGTCAGACAGACAGACAGACAGACAGACAGACAGTCAGCCAG